GCGATTCAGTGAGCGAGCCGTATGACAGCAATTCTGCAATGGATATCTATATCCAAAATATAGTGAAAACACTATTAATTAGCATAGTAACAAGATCGGCAGTTTAAGACATTAACTTGTGAGCACAAAACACAAGATACTTCTCTTTTCCATATAAATAAGGCTTTATTGGATAAATCTAAGACATATAAACTAATCTAACACATGAACACACGCATTCACACAAGTTTTCAGAAAGAGAGAGAGAGGAAATAATTAAAGAGAATGAAAATGTGAAATCCCAAGTTTACAGCAATATGTGCCATTGTATAGATCTGAACAACCATCAATCACTTAATTAACCCTCGCACGGAGTTCCTCAATGAGGTTAAAATTTAGATTAACTGCCCCAGTTCAGTTTAGAATCTGGAGGTACTTGCTTTCTGTGTTGCGGGGTTCCCTTTCTTGTCTGCTGAAAGGGGTTTCCCGAGGTTGCTGATTGGCTGGAGGTTCAGTCTTGGGAAGCCAGTGATTGGGCGTTGGCTGGCGACGCGGAGCTGTAGTCTGCAGTTGAAGGGTAGACAGCACTCTTCGGAGATGCGACGTTAGGCTTAACCCAGAACACGAAACTCTCAACGGAAAATAAAACAAACTAAAGAAATAGAAATAGATGTAAAGTTTGATGAGACCAGGTGGCGTTTCTTCTCATGGTTTTGGAGGAGCTGGCGTGTAAGCCAGAGCACGCTAAAAACTAAAGAAGCATGACTAGGAGTGAAAAGCTAAAAGCCGCATGGCTAAAAGCTAGACACAAAAAGTCAGACCCGCAAAAAGGCAAAAGACCAAAAAAGCGCGCGCACTGCATAGATTTGATGGTGTCCTGAGTATTTAAACCAGGCTGTTTAACACACCCAAATGGTGTTTCGACCAATTGTAGCTCGGGGTGTTGCAATGTTTCTCCTTCCCATTCATAAATCAACTGTTATCTCATCATTCACATAATCTGCGTTTTTCCCGCTCTGGTAGAGTATGATTTTGGACATGATTTCTATCACGAGGATATGATACATTTGACCAAGAATTGACTGGGAGAAACGTTTCAAGCATGAAAATTCAAACTCACACATACCAAGCATGAATATGACCCCTTAAGCTCTTCAATAGTTATTAACAATACATACACAATAAATGATTAAAACATGATGGTTAAACATGTGGGTTACATACATAATATGGAGTGATTATAGCAATTATTAGCTGGTCACCAGTCCTTTTAGTGTCATTTAGGTGCATGGAAAGGCAGTTTCCGTGCCATTCTGTGAATGTATGAAGACAAGAGATTAAAATGTCTGTAAGGAATTTTAGTCTCTCTGTTCTTGTCGTAAAGTGGGGGAAGTCAATTTACGAGGAGCTTGTGACTGTAGTTACTATCGTGTGATAGTCATGCGGTCATCTCTTTTGACCATTATTCTTGATAACTTGCCCCAAAATTTGACAATCTCCTTGGACTTGTCAATGTGTTCTTTTGTGTTAATGTTGAAAACTGTTCTGTGACAGGGGCTTAGGTTTAGGCTTGCTTCAGAGAGGCTAGGGTCTGATTTATGACATCCTGTTGTCTTGGGCCTCAGTGGAATTTTTGTGACTCCTCGTGCCTCAGTTTGTTACTATATACCTCCTGTAATTTCAAGTCAATCAGATCAGTGCGCACTGAGATATGAGTCTCCATGTGTTCACACTGTCTGGCGGCCATTTTGAAAGCGGTCTAAAAACTTTCGCCAAAAGAGGAGCCTCTTAAATATACATTGTTTAGATGTTTAAGCCTTTATTTTGGGTAAGTTTATTGTAAAATTGTAAAATTAAGAGATCAATGTTCAGACTTTTGCATATTATAACCTGGAACTTGGATGTGGGAAATAATATCCAAAAGAAGTTTTAGCAGCATAGCGCAGATGCTACAGAACACAGTTAGCTGACTAGCTGTATACGATTGTGTGCTACGCGAATATATTACTTCACTGGCATTACTGGCTTGTACTTTTACATCCATAATATTATACATTTACAGTTTATTGCTGGTCTGTGGTTTTATACTGCTGTAATTTTTAAAGATTTCATATATTTTAAGGTGAGCTTAAAGGGTGCACTACTATGAAAATCACACAGCTTCAGTGTGACATCAATAAGAAAAATTATAATTTCATAGATATTGTTAATAATAGTTGTTCATATTAAAATATGTATGAACTTAATACATGACCTAGACTATTTATTTAGCAAAATCCTGTCATTTTAATAAATATTACATGAAATTTATTACAAATTGTTGCTGCTCCAATTAAGCTCAGTGTGGTCTCTTTAAGCTCTTCCACATTGAACGTCAATGTAAATACTTCATAAACATACTTTAAATATTAACTGATGGTTGTCACTTTAAGTTAAGTTAATCGATTTTCTATGGATTCTGTCGAGTCAAATCTGCAGACTGGCTCTGACCTTTGGCAACTAGCATCAACTTCTCCAGACTGTAAATCTGTGGAAAATTGGGGCAAAAATCGTGTAGTGTATTCCAGCCGTAAGAGACTACAGATAAGTTGACATCCATTTAAAAAGAGGTTTCATAATGAAGCTAGTTTCTGTGTTCATCCCCAT